CCGGTCCGTCCGCCCCGCTGGGCCACGCCAGCCCCATGGCGTTCCCGCTGGTAAGAGCTGCTCGCCGCCCGCCCGGGCGGGGCTGGGCGGGGCCGCGGTCCGCGCCGCGGCAGCTAACGGTCCGCGCGCAACCTCGGCCGGTCCGCGGTACCCTCCTTTCCCGCCCCCACCCTTGCGCGCAAGTCCCGGGCGGGGCGCGGGTCACGTGCCCGCGAGCGTGGGGCCTCGTGGAGGGGTGTGTGGCGAAGGGGGGGGGTAGGGAGCCTCCTCGTGACTCAGGGCCTTTGGGCTTAAAGGCGCCGCGGCCCTCCGGGGGCGGCCGGTGGGGCCTCCGAGCTGCGTTGCAGACGCCCGTTGGCCTCGAGTGTCTGTCCAGACGGGAGCTGACCGGACGGAAGGGCGCCCCCACGCCCGGAACATTTCCTTCTCCCGCAGCCGTCGCACGTGAGAGTCTAAGCCACCGGCGCTGGGAGCTCACACGCCTCGCAGCGACCCCCGCGAATCTCGTTCGTACCCAGTGGGCAGCGGAGAAGGGCGGCCGGGGTGGGGCGGGGCTGCTGGCGGCGTAGACCCTTGCGCTGGGCCTCGGGTCAAGGGAGAGTGCCACGACGGCAGTGGGCGCGTCTCCTTTAAGGCGGAGGGATTAGGTCCCTCGTGCCGTCCGCGCGCGCTTCTTTGGCCCGTGAGGTCACGTGGCTTCACACGTTCGTTAGGCGCAGGAACTGGAGTTCTGGGGCGGGGTTGGCTAGGTAGGGTCGGGCGCTGGAGGGTGGCCGGCACGTGCAAAGCGGCTTTGCGCTGGGGAGCCCCGCGGCTCAGAGGTAGGTCCTGGGGGCGTGGGCGGGGGTCCTGCAGGCCGCGGAGGTGCCCCAGGCGTGGAGCTGACCTAAGCCGCGCTAGCTTCGGTTTTCCCCACCCCGAGTTCTCTGACAGCGGAGAAGCGTGCGTGTGGGCTTGGCTTTGTCATTCTCTCAGCCCAAGACCGGACTAGGTTCCCAGACTCGGGTGGGTGTTGGCGCGGGCCCAGCGCTGGTCTCGGGTTTGGTGGAGCAGTGGCTGGGAGCACAGCCTGGTTGCTTCGCTTGGTCAGCCCGCAGGTTAGAAAGGCCTGTGCCTGCCCTGAGCCCCCGGGGCGGGGAGGGGCGGTACTCAGACCAAGAAAAGGTTACTCACCTTTGGTTGTCCCACTTGGCGTCATTCCCCGGTTTTTTTCTTCGCGTGGGTGGTGTTTGCAGTCAAGTCGACCCTGACTTTTTTGCGTCATTCCCAGAGGACCCGGGCAGGCCAGGGTCCTTGTAAGTGGCCCAGCGCCGGCCACAGGACTGAGAAAGCCCGAGCGGATACTTGCGCTCTGGAGCACGTCCTCGCGTGCATGGGTTATTTTTTGGTGGCATTTTGCACAGTGCAAGCGGTCCTGCGCGAGGATTGCGCTCGCGAAGCAAGTGGGTAGCACGGAGACTCCACGACAGCGCTCGGAGCCGGGGGTGCCGGCTGTGACCCCCCTCCCCCACCCCACCCCGCAGGCCCGGCTCTGCTTAGCGCTGCATTTCGTTGGCAACTGCCTCCTTTGGTCTCCCTGGCTACCGATCTGCTGCCTTGCTCTCTCGCTGGCACCTGAGTAAACTGCTGGGCGAGCGGCGAGGGGGTTCGCTGGTATCCACAGGTGTACCGCCTGCCTCTGGTCTACCCCTCAGGTGACGGTGCTGACATGTGCCAGCTGGAAGTGTGTGTCTCCTGAGAATAGTTTGCACCCGTAGGCTCAGGTTCTGTTTGAGCTTAGGGACACAGGCTGGGTTAAAAACAAAAATAAATCGTATACAGGCGGAAGGAAACCTTGGAAACTTCAGGCTGGTGGTGGTTTTTCTGGTTGGTTGATTGGTTTTTATCTTAGGTAGAAGGGAAGTGGAAGGGAGTTCTGCTTCTGGAGCTCCGTGGAGCTCAGGGCTGTTGGAGCCCCTCAGGAGAGTAGAGTTCAGGGCTGACCGCGGGTGTTGGAGCGTCCTCGTTGAGCTCGCTTTGAGCTGCACTGTATTCCCAGAGCCCGTTGCTGCAGAGTTTGGCTTTTGCCACAGTGATGTAATTTAAACTTGAGGAGTGGTTTGGCAGTACGTGCTCGGTTTATAGAACTAGGATTAGGAAGTTGACTACCCTATATAAAGTCAGTCTTTACAGTATAGAAATACTTGCCATCCCGCCTCCCGAGGGTTGTCTTATAAACATCCCGCTGGCCCAGGCTCCCCTGTGGGGAAAGGGAACTGTGCCGGCCTGTACAGCCGGCAGGAGGTTGGAGAGCGAATGCGTGTGGCGAGTGACCATGGAAACATGAGCAGTTTGGATTGAGCCTTAGGCACTTGGTGCAGGAATGTTTCTGTGGTCTTGTCTTTCTTTCCTGTGGTACCAGTACCAGTGTCTCTGAGTCAGTAAGTGGAGGAAGGTGATAAAAGTAGTGCGACTCCACGTTCAACACCCAACTTGTTAAGAGGCTAATGATAATAGCTGTCTTTGTAAGTTTTTTCAGGGGTGACCAAGCAATTTATTTATTTTTTTAATCCTTAAAGTGGGTTACAAACCCAAATCCCTACAGGGGCCTGAGGTAACATAAATGAGTAAATGGAAAGAAAGTAGAGTAGTGCCTACTGAACTACAGAATTTGCTTAAAGGAGAGCCAGTAGCTGGTTCTTGGCCATGCAGAAGTGTGGGCCCAGAGTTCATGTATCTTTGACTTCTTTCCTAGTTAAGCTGCCAATCTCTATTTTTTTACATGTAGCAATTAAAAAATTGAAAACACTGGATGGTTCAAAGTCCCTGAAGATTGGATTCAACCTGAGGGCTAGCTTGGGGTCTTTGTCTTAAAACATCCCTTTTAGATTTCCTCCCTATTTTGCAGATGATGAAACAGGCTTAGAAATCAAGTCAGGAGGCTATCAAGTGATAAAAACAGTGTGTGAACCTAGGTCTTTCTGGTGCCATAGCTGAACCTATGGTATTATGTGTATTCCCGTATGTCAGATGGGTCAAGGGGTTATTGGTGGTGTGCATTGTATAGAAATGCAGTGGTCTATGGGCTGGTCACATTCATAGGCAAAGTGAGCCTTAACTGCATTGGAGGGAATCTCTGGTTGCTGTGGAAGTCAGTGTGGGTCTTCTGAGCGTTAGCACAGCAGTGTTGATGTCAGGAGGAATGTGCTGTGTCTATCATTCCATAATGTGTGTCAGAGCAGTTAGCTGATTCTGAGAGAGCCAGAGGTCTGGAGAAGTCAGGCTCCTCCCACTGTGGGGGCGACCCTCCCAAACCTCTGCACAAAAGACTGTCCTCTTTCAGGACAGTTAAATTTCAGCAACATTTTCCTTCTGAGACTAGGCATATTTGAAATTATGGTTTTGTAAGACCTGTGAAAGTACAATGGGGCTTATTAAATCTCACCTTTTTTCTCTTAGCTAAAATTTCCATAATTCTGTCTTTTAGATTTCCAGGCAGAATTACTAAGGGTTTTAGCAGTATGTGGTAAAATCTGGGATAAGCTCCCAGGGCATAAAAGAGCCCTGCACCAGGACTAAGGAGCTGGGGTTTCATTCTGGGCAACACTTAGAATCTTAGTGTATAATCCAAGCTAGCAGATGTAAAGGGATATGTACCTTTGTTTCTGTATCTTATTCCCAAAGATTTTAAAGCATAAGGAAGTGAAGAGCATATTCTGAGATGTTGTCAAAGGAATATTTCAGTGAGAATGCAGACTCACAAACACACCAGAAAACTTTTTTTTACCTGTGGTCTGGGAAGTTTTTGGAAAGATGGAAACTTTAAAATGTTACTTGTCCCCAGCTGCTGCTTTAGCTACCTTTATAGGCCAGGGTCTCAGCTGCGAGTTCAGTGTTTGTGAATTTGGTGAAGGGGAATCGTGAGATGACTAAAGTAGCTCTCTGCTCGTATTTTAGTGTTTATATGCTAGGTAATATCTGTGCAAAGTTTTTCATTCATTGTTTTCAGCTAAATGTTTCCGAGAATTGTGAGGTGTTTGTTTAAAGGGCAGATTAATTAGTGGGTAGTACTTCTGGCTTGAAGTTTGGGATAGAAATGCATACCAAACCCAGATATTAGTGTTTAGGCTGCTGTCTTCAGTAGCTGGTAGTGGAGGCAGTAAAAGAATCACGGGCTCAAATAGCAAATTATTTTCTCTCATATGGAAGAGCTCTTCTAATCCCATCCTGTTCTGCAAATCTGCTTTTCCTAGGCAGTATCTAAGCTGTACTGACTCTGGGGAGAACTTGCCAGAAAGTCTGGGGGTATGGGATGAGGAATAGGAAGAGGGTTGGACTTAAGAGGTTGGAGTGGAGGAAGTTACATGAAGAATTTTTGCTTCTTTCTGTTGTTTGAGTTAAAACCAAGGCGCATTGCTTGCACCCTTTCAGTATTTGGATACTGCTGACCCCGCCTCCTTTGCCCTACATACTGCAGCTTTGAAAATGCCCTTTTTCTTTCCTGCCATTGTTGGAGCCTGATTTTAGTTATACCTGTGTATGAGAGCTTGTCGTCTTCTGGAAGCACACAGATTCCAGGTGTTGAAAGTTTTTATGTTCAAGATAGGACCGCCCAAAACAAGGCATTTTTCAGTTACAGTAAACTGGCTGAAAAGATTGAACTAAAAAATACATAATATGGGGCTTCCCTGGTGGCGCAGTGGTTGAGAATCTGCCTGCTAACGCAGGGGACACGGGTTCGAGCCCTGGTCTGGGAGGATCCCACGTGCCGCGGAGCAACTAGGCCCGTGAGCCACAACTAGTGAGCCTGCGTGTCTGGAGCCTGTGCTCCACAACAAGAGAGGCCACGATAGTGAGAGGGCCGTGCACCGCGATGAAGAGTGGCCCCCGCTCGCCGCAACTAGAGAAAGCCCTCGCACAGAAACGAAGATCAAACACAGCAAAAATAAATAAATAAATAAACTCTTAAAAAAATAATATGTATAATATTTCATATTTTTCATAGGGAAATTACCTGACTTTGCATAAGAAGTCAGTATCCAAATTTGAGAGTGCTAAATTTACATTGTAG